AAATAAATAAATAAAATCTTAAAAAAAAAAAAAAAAAAAAACAAATCCTTTTAAAAAAAAAAAAATGAAACAAGATGAAACCAGAGAGGGAGACAAAGCATAAGAGACTCTTAATCTCAGAAAACAAACTGAGGGTTGTTGGAATGGAGGGGGTGGGAGGGATGGGGTGATGGGGTGGCTGGGTGATGGACACTGGGGAGGGTATGTGTTGTGGTGAGCACTGTGTATTGTGTAAGACTGATGAATCACAGACCTGTACCCCTGAAACAATACATTATATGTTAATAAAAAAAAAAAGAGTAAGTCAAGCAAATATTTACGGTTGACAAGTCAAATAAATAAACTTGGTTAAAAGTGACAACATAAAATCTTTATCGCAACTTTCACCGATGTTATTACTCTGCCTTCTAGTAGTCCCATCTATTGTTGCATTGTTGATAATGGAAGGGCACTGAGATCTAGGCTGACATTCGCTCCTCGGTCTTCTGTATCTACTCATGCCCTTTTCTATATAATAATTGATCTATAGGGGGTGCCTGAGTGGCTCAGTCGTTAAGCGTCTGCCTTCGGCTCAGGTCATGATCCCAGGGTCCTGGGATCCAGCCCCGCATTGTGCTCCCTGCTTGGCGGGGAGCCTGCTTCTCCCTCTCACACTCCCCCTGCTTGTGTTCCCTCTCTCGCTGTCTCTCTCTCTGTCAAATAAATAAAATCTTTTTAAAAAGATTGATCTGTAGATAAGATTTAGAAGAGAATGGAAATATCCCAAATCAGAACTCAAAAGCACGCAGCATTGTTCCCTGAACATTAATGTCTATAATGAGAGCCTCCTCCTGGGGGCCATGACCCCTTTTCTGACCCATGTAAAGGTGATGTTAGCATAGAGGTAATAATGTTGCATCCTTTTTATTATCCTTCTTAAAATTCAGTGGGTAACATATTCAGAGGGATTTTTTAATAGCTCCATTACTAAGACATTTTAAAATCCCAATGAATTGTACAGTGTTGTAAAAAAAAAAAAATACAAGTTATCCAAATGGAGTAAGAAAGAAGTGGGAAGCCTCAATAAACCAGTAGCCAGGGAAGGAATTGAAAACTTGTCAAAATATTACTCTCTCCATGAAAGGCATTACCCCAGGGGGTTTCCATTTGAAATGAACTTATGGAAATAATAATAGTCTATTTCTCCTTGAGTGCTTAGGAGAATTAATTATTTCCAAAATATATAAACTGTTCCAGAGTAAGGGAAAAGATGGAAAGCTTAAGGAGTCCTAATTCATTATATGCACAAAAACTTTGAAACCAAAACAAAGGCCAGTCACACAGTGAGTGTATGTGGAGCAGTCTAATTTACCAGTGTAATAACAGGATCATTTCCTACCAGAAAACCTATCAGAATAGGTTATTTCAGTGGGTAAAAATAGAACCTAAATTTTTAGTAGTGGCCAAGTAATCACTTAGTCATTTATTGAAATTCAACTCTGGTTCCTGGTTTAAAAACAAAACTCTTAGTAAACTCAAAAATAATACCTCCTTTTAACACTATAAAGAATATCCAGATAACCAACATCACTCATGACATAAAAATACTAGAAGTTGTACCAACAAAATCTAGACAAGTTTGTCATAATGAGCTGACATTTGAGCATTTCTAAATTCCAGGCACTGTTCTAAGAGGTTTTATATAGATTAACTAATTTACCCTTCGTAACAAGCCCATGAAATAGTTACTGACCCTGTTTCACAGATGAGGAAACTGAGGCTCAGGGAGGTGGAATAATTGACCATTGCACAGTTACTAAGAGGCCAAACTGGGCTTTCAACTTGGGACTTCGGTCTTCACAGGCCACGTGCCTAGTCCTGTAGTCCGCATCGTCACTTAATTCTGTTCTGGGTATTCTAGGCTGTGCACTCGGAGAAAGAGAAATAAGAAGTTTTATTACTATTGGAAAGGGGACAAAATTACGATTTTCAGATAAGATGATGGATGCATACTGTATAGTAGCGATTTGCCTGCCTAAAAAGTAATAAGTATATCAAAAATACTTAAGTATATCAAAAATAAATCAGTGAAGACAAACAGCCAACTAGAAAACATACTTGAAAGAAAATACGGAGAGGATGAACGCCTTGTAGAAAAAAAAAGGTTTTTAAAAAGTATGCTTATGAATCTAAATAAAATTTTAAAAAGATATTTCTTCATTCTATAGGAATGGTGAATGTCTGGTGGAGGAAAGATTTTCTTTCTTTTGCCACACCGGGGAGCATGCTTTATCAAAGAGGAAGGAAGAATTAGAAGATTCCTACCTCACAGGGTTAGGATAGGCTTTATTTAGGTTCAGTAAGAATAACAGTTTCTTCAGCATATTATTTTTTAAATCATTTAAACTTCTTCAAAAATCCCAGATTAAACTTCTTTAAGAGTTCCCCCACGCCTAAAAAAAGTACGCTTATGACACAGTTGTTATCAAAAAATTAACTAAGCTTTTACCCTTGTGATTTAAAATTTCTCTGTAACTGTGAACCTGACTGTTCAAAATATATTTCAGCATTTCAACAATTTCAGTCATGTCTTAACCCTCTCAGAACTGTAGAAGAAATGACTTAATGGGATTTATAACAACAAAAATAATAGCAGCTGACACAGCTTAAGTGCTTGCTAGACGCCAGGCTCCGTTTTACTTGTTTTTACACACATTATCTTCTGCACTCTTCATAAAGGAACTTCTGAATTGGGGGAGCATAGGCACCCTGTCCTACTGTGACTCCAGCTCTGGAATAGCACAGAACCCAGAGTAGGGTTGCTGCATAGATTTGTTGAGTAAGTGGACCAACAGCTTGACAAGATGTAGAATGTTAGTATTTTAAGAAAATGTTTCACATAAAAATATCCTTCTAAAACTGAGCGCTGATCTATCCAGACTAAGATTCTGTCTCCTACCATAGTTCCAAGGGGGTGGTTTGAAGTCAGGCCTTGTTGCCTTCCGTGGCATGACCTCCAAACTTCAGTGACATACCCAGATCTCCAATATCCTAAATGATATATGATTGATAGATATTGATCCACCATGTGCTAGGCGCTGAGCTGGTTTCAGTGTCTCCTTTGAACCTACTAACACTCTTAGGATTAAAAACCCATTTCAGAGAAGAGGGAACTGAAGCCCAGAGACTTTAAACACCTTTTTTAAGGTGATACAGCTGGAAAGTATTGGATCAAAGGTTCACATCCAAGCCTCCCTAAATCCAGAGCCCCTGCATCTCCCTCTGACTTTGCCACACTTCACATTTGTTTGTTTTCAGCTTATACCACCCCTGTGAACAAAGAGCTCTTTCCATTCCTATCTGTGGTCTCAATACTTGGTTCAAGTTTCAGTAGGAAAGAAGAAAGGCTGGCTTTAGTAACAAAAATATGAGGAGACAGGGCTACATCATTTATTGTATGTACTTAACAAACAGGCAGCATAGCATTCTGTCCATCAGTACTTTAGCATGTATCTGTAACAGGCAAGGACTTTTTCTTTAATATGATGATAGTGCTGTTATCACATCCAACAAAATTTAGTAAGTCCTGATGGTACCTGGTCTGTGTCCAGTTTTCTCCAGCTGTCTCAAAAATGTCATTTTGGACTTGATTTGTTTGAAGCGGGCAGGATGAGGTACTTTTAATATGTCCTGTTCCCTAATAAAATCCCCTCAGTACTCTGTGCGCTAACGCTTGCCACAATATTACTCCATAGCAACTTCTTCGAGAGATGCAGCAGATGGCCAGTCGTCCCTTTGCCTCCGTAAATGTTGCCTTGGAAACAGATGAAGAGCCTCCTGATCTTATTGGGGGGAGTATAAAGGTGAGAATGTGGTTCAAAAGTCCCGAAAACTTGTCAGAACTCAGGCTTCTAAGTCTGGGGAGACCACAGAGAACAAGAGCCTTATTCTGTTGCCTCATAATTATGTGTTCCTCTCTCTCTCTTTTTAACAATAAGGCAACACGCTGATGTTGTCAGATATTCTTTTGCTTTCATTTTTCAGTCTTTCATGTTGTTAAGCATTCTCATGTTCAAGGAATTTAAAAATATGAATCGTTTGTCTCAAATTCTTGTTAAGTATTCTGTGGCGTAATACTTTAAAAATTTATATTGGAAAAGAGCTAAATTGAAACACTGCTTTTTATAAGTAGTTTAGGGAATTTTCTTAAAAGGGGCAAAAATTATAATTCACTATGCATTCCATGGAATGTAAATATTTCTGACTCCTCCCAGAAAAATGATGAAGAAAGAAAAGTTTCTCTTTTGGCAAAATGATGAACTATTTCAGATGCTCTGGGGAAAGAGTTATAGAACCTGAATTTTAAAATACTTATTAAAGCATTACTGAGCTCATAGGAAGTAGGTGAAATTCCCAGGAAATATTCTCCTATCCCTCCCCCAAAAAAGAACAAATCGTGAACCAAAACCAGAACGATGTGTGGTCTGAAGTGGTTCCAGATTGGTAACACACCATGACTCCCAGCCGACATAGGTGCAGATCCTCTCTGTGGGAAAGCATCCCCATTTCAGCCATGTAGGATCCCCAGAGATCAAGATCAAGCAATCAGAGATCACCAAGGACAAGAGAGACAAGCCACTAGGAATAGGAGTTAGCAGATACCATGGACAGTGGTTTAGACAGGACTTCACACATTAGAGCGGCATCTAAAGCGTATAATACAGCTCTGTATGAAATGTTTAAAGACGTGAAAGATGGAATCATAAAGATGAGGACACCATGAATCAAGAGTGACCAGATCTAAAAAAGAACCAAATGGAACTGTTAGAAATGGAACATACAGGGGCAGCTGGCTGGCTCAGTTAGTAGAGCACGCGACTCTTGATCTTGGGGTTGTGAGTTCCAGCCCCATGTGGAGTATAAAGATTACTTAAATAAATAAATAAACTTTAAAAAAAATAAATGGAACATATAGGGGTTGAAATTTTTTAAATAACTCCGTCTACATTTTATTTTATTATTTTTATTTTTTAAAGATTTTATTTATTTATTTGAGAGAGAGAGAATGAGAGACAGAGAGCATGAGAGGGAGGAGGGAGAATCAGACTCCCTACCGAGCAGGGAGCCCGATGCGGGACTCGATCCCGGGACTCCAGGATCATGACCTGAGCCGAAGGCAGTC